TATTCAGATTGGTAGATGGAAAGGAAACAGACCACTGAGTTCTGTGCTGGATGTAGGCACTGGGACAGAGGTTCAAGAAGACCTGTGGACTTAATGCCAGCACTTTCAGATCCAGCCCTTTCTGAAAGCAACACATGATCTGCCTGTTTTTCTCCAAATAGGGGATACCCCCATGTCCTTCCTGACATGTGCTTAAACTTCTCGGGGTGGTCAATATCTATCACTTATCCTCCGTGACTGTCTCTTGTTGCTGTCTCCCACTCAATCACTGTGGTAGTGTGACACTTGAAACCCTGAAATATAGTCAGTCTGTGGTTGTTTTGTGGCTTTATCTCAAGCCTTAGCCCTTCCCCAAATGGCTCCTGATTAAACCCTCTCAAATATGAAAAACTCTGCACTGAATTTCTTTTCCATTTCTATCTTGTCATATGGAAGGAATCACTTTCAGAATAAAGTGCCATGCTGGTTTTGTAGTTTACAATAGTTTTGAGCTTTGCTTAGTACTAGTAGTGCCAGCCCAAATTGTAGTATCTGCCTGGAGCTCCTGACCCTTTCTGTGTTTACCATGTCTCAGTGGAGATAGGGCTCTTTTCCCAGTAGCTGGGGTCAACTTTCCAAACTGTATTATTACTTTCTCTGCATTATGCTGCATTTCTTAAGCTTTTCTGTAGTTTTGAGCTCCTTTCTGATTCTCAGATATCTACTTTTTTTTCTCTTTACCAAGTTTTTTTCTCAGGTGTCTTGATTTCAGGTCCTAGAGAGTTTGTAATTTGCTGCTGGTCTCCAAGTCATGATTTTTAACTTTCACTCATATTTACTCTTATTTTCCACTAAGTTCTTCATTACTTATATATTTCTCTGCTATTCAGTATACTTTTCACCACCAAACTATGAACTCTCTTTCATTATTCTTATGTGTAACACTGAGGAATAGGTATACATAATAGAGTCATGGTCAGATAGTAGTAAGACTTTCAAAACTATTTGAACTTATATTTCACTTTTCCATGACACCTGTAACTCTGAGGATCTGAAGGGGAAAATTTTTTTGTTTCTCATTTTAATTTATATTCATGAGTGTGTGTGTGTGTATGTGTGTGTGACTAGTAGTAAGTAAATAATATAAAGTGATCCTTTTGATTTTCTATAGTCAGGTGAGTGTATAGCAACTGAATTTTGGATTTCTGTGTGTCCAAAAAACACTTCAAAGTGATTTAATTCTTTCCTGATGAAATGAAAATAATGGTATAGTATTCTTCAGTAGTCTCTGAGTTGAGAGTCTCTTCATGTGGGTTTTAGAGTATCTGTATGCTTTTTAAAATTGCATATGATATTTGATCAGCTTTCCAGAAACTAGAGAAAGTGTTTTCATTTGACACTTAATTTTTGTGAACATATATACTTTTTTTTCAAATTTAAATTTTATCCTAAAAAGAAAGGCTTCATGGCCCATGGAATATTGTACATATATTTGCTTTCACATGGGTGAAAATTATTTATGTTTTAGGAAAGTTAAGTGAATATTGTGGTGCTCTATAGGAATGAATATTCACATATTCATAAGCTGGTACATTGAGAGGAAAAAAAGTGGAGAGAATGTAATACTCTCTTCTTAAAGGTTGATTTCCAGGCTAGTGTGATCTTTGTGACTGACTCAAATTATTTTCTTTTCTAGTTCATTCATATTCACAATGTAGTGATAAATTACTCATAAGATATTAAGAATAAGAAGTCATCAGTCACTAGGTTACAGAGGAAAACAGTTTTCTTTTTCTATGGAGAATAGTCTTATTTGCATATGCTTTTTCTATGGATAATCCTGCAAGTCAATATAATGTAAAATCTTACTATCAGGATTTGTCTTATTGTTTCTGGACTGTTGGCTAGATTTTGAATATTAATAATGAAGCGGTCATAGTGTTTTTTTAACCTATATAGTCTTATTTTTTTTTCTTTTGAGATAACATGATGAGATGCCAGTGTAATTTATTGAAATGAGGAACTCTGGAGGAAGAGCAGGGTTTGAAAGCGTCACTAATTCCTTTTTGGATTTGTCATTTTTGAGAAACATGTGAGATAAACAATTGGAAATGTCAAGTAGGCTGTTGGATATATGGATCAGGAGCTCTGAGACGTGTAATCTGTGAGTAAATGTGAGTTGTACCAGTAAATTACTTCCTGGGGAAAGAGTGTGGAATGAGATGAGAAGGTGACTAATGCTTTCCCTGAGGAGTTAGTGTCTTATGGATGTGGGGAAAGAGCAGTCAGATAAATTGTAGTAAAATAAAGTGAATGTAATGTCACAGAAGTCATAGACTCCAATACGAGAGTGGTCCCATGAGACATGCTACAGAGAGATCAATATGGCTGTTTTAGCAGACTAAACATCATTGGTGACTTTCTTTGGTTTCATTGCTATTTTTAGAAGAAAAATGGTCATTGAATTGAAAATACTGGATAATTCGTTATTTTTGTAAAGTGGTTTAAAAATTTCATACAGGAAAATGTGCTGTCTTTATGTATGGTTCTGAGGCTAGACAAATGTATAGTGCTGTGTAAAGACCACCACAATCAAGAAAAAAATAATAGTTTCCTTAGCCCTTCCAACAAGTCCCATAGTGTACCTCTTTATAGTACAGTGTAACCCTAGTCAACCACTAATGTCTTAATCTTTCCACTTTGCCTTTTCCAGAATGCTTTATAAGTGGAACCAACCATTATATAGCCTGTTGAAATCTAGCTTTTAAAATTTACATTAATGTATTTGAAATTCCCCCATGTTATTGAATGTAAGAAATTTTGAAAATTTAAATATTTACCATATGTTTTGATTGCCCCTTTTAATGACCGTTGGTGGGATTTCTGGATTGTATACTAGTTTGTTTTTAATCATTTTCACTCTTTATAATGCATGATTTTTATTGCTCTGCTGTCAAGTTTACTACCCATCGATATTCTTTTATTGAGCCTATCCAGTGTTTTCAAAAGCTTCATTTATTATGATTTTTAGTTTTAGATTATATTTGATTCTTTTTTTTGTTTGTTTGTTTTTTTCTCCGGTACCGGGAACCGAACTCACGACCTTGCGCTTGCCAGGCAGGCACTTTTGCCGCTGAGCTAAATCCCCAGCCCCTTATTTGATTCTTTTTATAGTTTCTATTTGTTTTGATTTTTTATTATTCTACTTATTTGTGTTTATTTTTATCCAAAAAAGCATAGTTATGGTAGCTGTTTTAAAGTTTTTAACTTTTATTTGAACATTAGAGTAATCTTGGAATTGATACCATTGAAATTTTTTTTAGTAAGCAATCTATCTTATTTGATTCAGACTCCCAAGTTTTCTGTTTGTATAAATGGTGTAACATTAAGTCAACTTTCAGAGCATTTGTGTCAGTACTCTGCATTTGCTGCTCTGTACACTCGCTACTAAAGTGGATAGTCTGAGGCTTGAGCAATGGTTAATACTACCTATGATTTCTCAAAGCCTTTGCACTTCTTTAGCTGCATTCCATATATATGTGTTTGCTGTTGAGACCAAAACTTGTACTGTTTCATACACAGAATTAGGGGATTTCTTTCTCATGTTCTGTCCTGTGATTTCTTCCAAATTACCTATTTCTAATAGGCCCTTATTGCCATTTCTTTTTTTTTTTTTTTTGAGGGGAGGTGAAGTTCTCATTTCTCTCAAAGACTTAATCTTTCTTGCTGTCAAATAGCCGTGTACTATTGAGGCTACCCTTGGAGTAAAATTGAAAGTGAAAAAATACATAACTGGTATTATCCCCACACCTTTTATCTTTTTTTAAATCTTGAGAATCTTATTTTCTTGCTTCCTCAGGCCAGACAAGCAGGTTTTCTCTAGATTTGTTTATTGCCTTAGAGTAGTGCTGAGAGTTGACAAAAAAGTCAAAATTTCAAAAACCTAGGCTTTCTTATGTATACCACTTCAAAATTGTATCTTTTTCTGATTTAGTGTCCATAGTGTGGGATTTCTCTGGGAATTTTTGTTCATGCCTATACTAACATTATAAGTCTCATCCTTTTCTCAGGTTAAATTGAGGGTATACAGGTAGAAAATAAATGTAGGATACTTGTCAGAGTTTTCTCGAATGGTATACTCACTGCTAGTAGGTACTGTTTAGTTTCCAGAATCCGTAGGTAGTTACCTTTTGTATTCTGCCTAGCATTTTTAGTGTAAAATTAAGAGAGAGAAAGAAGCTTAGTGGATTTATTCTTTGCTTTGGCTTTTACTAATAGCTCTAGTTAATTTATATGTTTTCCCCCTATGGACTCTTACAGATGGTCTGTGATAAAGTTCTTTTTTTTAAGACCAGATTGCTATTACATGCTTCCTAAACATCTAGAACAGTGATTGGAAGACTTTTTCTGTAAATAACCTAATAAGTATTTTAAGCCTTGTAGGCATAGAATCTTTGTCACAATTGCTCAATTTAGCTATTATAGTGTGAAAGAAACGAAAGATAATATACAAATAAGTATGCAGTATCATAAGAATACAAATAAATACATACTGTGACTGTATTCCAGTAACATTTTGTGTCAAAAGATGTGGCAGGCCAGACTTGGCCCATGAGTATAGTTTAGAGATCCTAGATCTATAGCCTCAATATTACTTTTTCTTTAATTATTGGTTGGAGATAAAGTATAAATATCACTGTGCTTTGTCTGTTTAAATGATTTTGCTTCTTTGGGCACATGGATCTTTCTCCTATAGTTTATTCTTCTATATAGTATCTCATGAAATTTAAATTGAGCTACATAAAAAGAGAAGTATAAAGTTTTGAAAAAGTCAGGGATGCTCACTGATGGTCTGGGAACCATATTAATAGTGTTCTTTTTCTAAATATTTTTTGTGTGTCCTTTGTTTTTCAGTAATTTGGACCTTGTTAGATTGTAAAAGGAAATGCTTGTGGATTTTCTTAGTTATTACTCTTGTCTTAGTACACCTGAACTTCAACTTTTGAACACTGTTTTTCCAGGTAAATGTTCTTAAAATGGTTGAAGAACCAATGGATGAGGGTGAAGCAGATTCCTGCCTTGTAAGTACCCACATTAACTTGTTAAGCATCATTTTTACCATATTAGAAAAGACTATGGAGAAAGGAGAAAAATCCTATCAGTTAAAGTAATTTATTTAGGTAAGTCACTAATTAGTAGATGCAATTATTAACAAATCACCTGCAACTCAATGTATAGGACATATTTTCCTGTCAGAAATTTTTGTGCATGAAAAATTTTCAATAAACAGCTCTTTGAAATTCAATTCACATTCCATAAAATTAACCCATTATAAGTATAGTGGATTAATTTTAGTGGATTAAATTTAGATTTACCAGCATAAGAGTAATTGAATTACTTAAATATAGAATCCTTTCAATTAATCTAAGGAAAATTGTCTTAAACTTTAAGGTAGAAACAAATCTAACTTGGAAATATTGAACTATAAGTATAGCATGAAATAATTTTGAAGCCATTTTTTAACTTCTAGAAAAGATTAAATCTAAGTTATTTTAGAAATTTCTAGCTAGTTTTGAAGACTTTTAAGCTCTTAGGTCATTCTATGCAAGGCCCAAACATTAGAATCTCTTTTTACAGTATCTCCTTTTATGAAATTCTTAAAGATTTTAGTGGCAATTTGAGTAATGTAGGCATCTTCATTTATGTTTTAATTCTATGGTTCTCATTTGTATAAATACTTTATAGGATTATATCTTGTTTTTAATATGAAATGAACCTCAAAGACAGTACTTTACAACATGTTCATTTGTATTGAATGTTCTAAGATTTGGAGAGATTTGTGATTTATATTAGATGATGAAAACATCAAGTATTAAAATCAAGATTTATGATACAGTGTTCCTCTTGTTACATTAGCCATACATTATATAGACCTAGAGAAATGGAAAGTAAGGAGTGTACAGGTACCATTTTTTTCTGATTTAGTTGTAGATAAAATTATTTTTATTTCTTTTCCTCCTATAAAACATATTTGTAACTGTAATTACCTCACATAGAACCAACCAGTGGGATTTAAGTTGTGTTTGTCCAAGATTCTGCTTCCTTTTTTATTTTTTTTGTACTGGGAATCGAACTCAGGATATTGCGCTTGCCACGCAGGCGCTTGTGCCACTAAGCTATATCCCCAGCCCCAAGATTCTCCTTTCAAATATTTTATGTCATTATCTCTGCATATAGTTGCCATGAAGCAGCAATTTAGGTTGACAAAAAAAGAAGTATAATTTCATTTTGGATTTTGTGATTTATTTAATATTAATAACATTTAAATAGTATTATAATCAAATGTAAACTTCTGTAAAAACTATAGAGATTTATCCGTAGATCATGTGGATCAAGAGGCATAGTAATACTTATGTCATTAGTTCACAAAAGGACTGTATGAACTACAAAAGAGAGTGGGAAATAAGACCCAATTTTGTCATTAGTACCTTAACAAAGAAACATGGTGATGCCCATTATAGGAGAAAGAAAATGTGCATTTGTCTACAAACGCACGTGTACATGTGTATGTGTGTGTGTAGTGAACATGCATAGACATATATGTAGAGTGATTGTCAGATATTTACTTAATTTTAAGAGAAAATTAGTTGTGAAGTACTGTTGTTAGTGGAGAGACTCAAATGTACCATGCTAAATGCTAATATTGTTTACAATATACAGCCAATTTTCAGTGACTAGAACATGCTATCTGAAATTTTCAAGATGAGGAATTAGAGTCACATTCAGGAATATGATTTATGATCTCTACTTGACAGAATGTACTTTTTGTGATGGTCAAAGTATTTAATTTGTATGAATAAAACGATATTAGTGATAATGTTTTCATATATAGGATTTCTTCGATGTGGTTGTCGATTCCAGTATGATGCTTATAGCTTTGTGGTTTTGTTGGATTTTATTGTTTTAAAATAATGTAAGATAGGGGCTGGGGATTTAGCTCAGTGGCAAAGCGCCTGCCTGGCAAGCGCAAGGTCGTGAGTTCGGTTCCCAGTACCGGAGAAAAACCAAAAAAAATAAATAAATAAATAAATAAATAAAATAATGTAAGATTGTAGAGACTTTCTCTATGATTCTTTAAACACCATTCTTTAAATGTGAACTTTAAATTTTGGGATATAGATCAGTGGTAGAGCATGTTTAATCCTAAGACCTGAAAAATACATATGTCCATAATACATATATAAAAGATAAACCTATCTCTGTCCTGATGGTATTTTATGTTTAATTGACTTATTTGGACAACTAATCTATTTCAACTATTATTACTTTAAATTTGCATAGTCATTTGATCTCTTTTCTTCAGGTAAAAGAAGTAAAATAAAATACTTCATAAATACCTAGCATATGATCAGCAAAGTTGCAATATATAGTATGTGTAATTTTAATATGTCTATATTGGTCATGAGATGTTTTTCATTTTTCAAGAAAATTTTTCCTTTTGGCAAGTATTAAGTAACAGATCACTGATAAAATATATGTGATATAAAAATCACCTAGCCTCCTGCTTCTAACAATGTCAAGATTGGAAAAAATATATTTTCAGTTTCTTTGGTAGATGGCTGACATGAGTTAATTTCTTATGTATCATCAAAATCAGAATAGCTGTCTTAAAATTGGTAGTTTATAAACCACTTATATTTTATAGAGTGTTTGTTATTCTGTAAGGTAAAATACATATTTTTATTGTTATCAATGTCTTCTAAATTTCAAGGAAGATTCAGTTAACAATTAAATACTTTTTAGAGTCTAATAATACAAAGGCAGCAATGTGTTTAGTTTCTAACTTGAGCTAGATTTTTATTTCCCAGAAATGTAACTGTTACATTGAACTGAAGGTATACATTTAAAATAAAACAAAACCAAATTCCTGGTATCATAAGCGCTAAATTTCTAATTTGGAAACCATTCTTAGTATATGTCTCTCTTAAGAATTCTTTTAAAAAGTCTTTCAGAAGTACATTTTACACAATTAAACTCAAATGAAAAATTAAGTGGGAAGCATTTCAAACTGGGGTTTGCTCTCCTTTCTGCATGTTGATTTATCATATGAAATAAAATAAAATTTCATAATCAAATAATAAAAGAATAAAAATAGTCATTACATTGTGCATTATTTTTATCAAAGTAACTAATCAGAGTACAAGACATAAACCAAAAAGGTTTTTAAAAAATAGAAACAAACATAATAACACAAATGTTTCTTCTCGAGAAACAAAGATAAACTAGTACAAATGAAGCCAATTAGCATGTATATTAAAATATCTTTAAAACAATGGAATTTGTAATTTCGGGAAGTATTTGAACTTCTCACTACTTCCTATTTTCTCTTTTCTAATTTTCTGCGTGGTGAATTTTTTTATTTCCTTTATCTTTCCATTTTGATGGACATTTTAACTTAGCTGCCCTGCAATATTTTTCTTCCCTTGCAATACTGTTACCTTACTTCTGATTTCTAGCCATTTTCCTTTCTTTAAAATTTGGAACCTTTGTAGTACAAACATGCAGAACTTTCAGATGAGCAATTCAACTAAAAATTTTGGCACTGTAACTATAAGGTGAGTTGTATGCGGCATATTTAATTATATAAAGATAAATAATATACTGTAAATAAGTTCATTAATGTCATTTTGATGGTTTATAGTTTCTCTTATAACTGAGATCTCAAATAAATGGAGTAGATATTAATATTTATAGGTAAGGAAACAAGCTGATTCTTACAAGTAGAATAAACCAACCAAATAGGAATTAGTTTAGCACATTTTTTGGTTTCTAGTTATCGATACAATATTTCAAACCCAAATATTTTGCAATAATTTTTTAATGTGTACATTATTTTGATGCATTTAATGCAATCTAGTGATGTTTTCATATTTTCATTATTATTACTGTTAGCTTTCTTTGGAAATACACTGATATTTGGCTTGGTTTTTAGTGACCCTAGACTAGAGTTTTCACATGTGTGTTAACAGATCCAAGACACATTGCTTACAATTTGAGGCTTATCTCTTTTACCAAACTGGCCTATCTACCCTCAGATAAAATGAATGTTTGAAGTGATGGATTTTGCATTATTACATAAAAGCCAATAAATTTAGCCTTTAAAAATTTTTCTTCTTTGTTTTGATTGTTTACTGAAGGTTCATTCTGCAGTGTTATGAAAATTTCATCATTAGTAATATTATTAATAGGTTGTTCTCATCTCTTTCTTGTTCTGATTAACAGGTGATTTCTTCCCCTTAAATAAATTGGCTGTCAAAGGAATGGAGCAGTAGAGTATTTGACAGTTTATTTGGTACTTTATCAATGTTTTCCCAGTACTATAGAATTACTGACTACCACGATTTAACAAATGATCAATGGTTATACAAATTACAGTATATTCATTTGGTTATAGTTGAGCCTTTATAGGTTTTCTGAATACTGACAATTAATACAGGTGATATTTTGACCTCCCCCTCAAAAAAATTTGGACATATTTTATTGTTTTAAAAAGATACTTAAAATACTTTTGATATTTCTTATTGGTTAAGTTTGCTTTTAAAATCTTTTTATTGTGTATAAGGTGTACAACATGATGATTTGATACAAATGGTGAAATGATTACTATATTCAAGTAAATTACTATACCCATTATCTCTTATAGTTACTTTATGTATGTATTGTAAGGGCTGTCTTTCTTTGTAAAAGTATAGTTTTCCTCCTTTTCTTTTTATAAAATTGTGAGAATTGCTTTGCCTTTGTGCTCCTATACAATCAAAGGAGTACTGTGCTGAGTGTTTGGGAATACATAAATAAATGTGGTGGTTTTAGTTACTTTCTCTTGTTGCTGAAAAAAAATACTTGACACCCAAAATTAAAGGTGGAAAAGTTTATTCAACTCAGAGTTTGTAGAGGTTTCAGTCCTTAATCTGCTGGCTCCAAGGCAGGGTGGCATGGCAGACAGGCATCACAAAGGAGAAACAGTTCATGGTAGGTAGCACATAGCAAAGCAACAAGGGATGACCGCGTATCTTTCTGTCTCTTGTATCTTATTCAGGCTACTTAGAGTGGGTAGCACTCACACCCTTAATCCTGGTGCCTTTGATTCTAGTATTGCATCATGAATCAATACCAGCATTGCTCACTCTAGATCCAGCCACCTCTGAAATAAACCCACCTATGACCATATGAGCATTTGCGGGGGCGTCTACATACAAGCCATAACAGTGGTAATACATGCATTAAGGAAGCTCATAGTCTAGTGGAAAAGAAAATCAAATGGGTAACACAGAGTAAGTATAATGGTATACTATGGTGGCTATCCACTAGAAAAAGTTAATCTTTTTCATATAGTAGAACTGGTTTTTAGGAGCCTTTAAGTTACTGCCACTGAAAACTGAAAGACATATTGCATTCTAAAAGATGGGCATGTATGGATTTTAATATAAGGAAGAAAGATCATTGTGTAAACATTTTCATTTGGAAGACTTGCTTTGCTTGGGTGAAACTAATTGGATGAAAGTTGCTTCTTAAATCTGAACACTTTAAAAAAAATCCTCATATTGTTTTCATTCATGCTTATAATAATGACTGTACACATGCCAGGGACCTGAATTGCCATCTTAATCATAAAAATATAGTATTGTGTTCAATATAGGCCACAGATCTATAGGTGATCTTAAAAGCCCACCTAACAAATCCCTGTAGCCATGTGAGAAAAATCAAGTAGAGCATGGTTTACAATTTGGCCAAGGCTGCTAGCATTATGCATGGCAGATATAGGAACAAAATTTAGAGTGTGTTAATCCTTTTTGTAATGTTCCTTCCATGCTCTATAGACCACTAATATATTCCCTAATATTCTGTACCTGAAAACTCAGATGCCATAATATCCATTAGAGTATATAATAGTTATTTTGGGGACACATATATTCTAATAATATGTACAAATATATTATATTTTAATAGAACCCAAAAATTTCAGCTATAATGCATATATTTATGCATTTTTGGTGCTTCACTATCTTGCTATTCATAAACTCCCCAGCTCAAATTATCCTCGTGCTGCAGCTTCTCCTGTATTAGGATTAGAGCCATAGGGCTGCAGCGCCTGATTTAAATTTGCATTTTCAAAAGTATGTAACTTTAGTGCTCAGTAGTAAAGTGTTTACCTTATAATGGGTTTAATCTCCAGCAATCAAAAAATAAGGAAAAAATATTCTTAGGTCTCTTTCAGGTAGGGAAAATCACTTATAATAAATTTTAGTTTAAAAATCCATAAATCACGGAGTATTTAAAAGGGTTTGGTGAAATACTATTTTGATATTTAAGAAACACTCATTGATATATTTTCAGAGTTAATAATTATTCATTTCTATTTAAGTAGTGGGTCATAATATCTAAAACTAAAATTCTTCTGCCAGAATACCTCTTTTGAGAAAGTGAACCTGTATGATATGGAAGTTATTTTAGCTGCCATGAATTCTGTCTCATTTGAGTCCATCATCTTGTCCAATATGGCCCAAACCACCACTGATTAATCAAGTAATTGAAAGGTAAATCAGTTAGGGTGAATCTTGATGAGTTTAGATTCAGGACATTCTTTCTCTCAGACAAGAATTAATATGGTGTAATGGAAGCTACTAAGACTTCTAGACATTAACTATTCATGTAAATTTAAACTCTGTGAGTCTCAGTTTTCTTCCACATACAGTGCAACGATTGGATTAAATATCCCTTTCAATTCTGTTATTTTGCAATATTTAATGCATTTGTAATTGCTACTGTGATATCTGTAGTGAATGGAATCACAACTAGTCATCACAGCTGAGCGGAGTACTGTATCAAGAGGCAAAACAGCTCCTTGATGGCTTCCTTTTTGGATGACCTAGATGGTAGGAAACCTTGCATATGATTTACATTTAAAATTTCAATAAAATTAGGACATAACCTAGAAACTTGTTCGGGCTGAAAAGTTTGTTTGTCTATGCCAGCTTCTTTTCATTGATGTGACTAGTTGGACATGTAAATATTTAAAAGTGTATAGTGAAATACTGTTTAAAAGAACTCTTCCTTTACATTTTTTTGCTTGTCTTTCTCTGCCCCTGCCTCCTATCTCAAACACTAATGAGGGATTTCACGTTGTTATTAACAGTTTCATTTTACTGCTACCTCATTGGAAAGCTGAAATATAAATTTTATTTTACATGGTTCTCTTGACATGAAATAATATGGTAGGGAAGCTGGTGGTGTTGTTTGTGCATGTTGTTAGAAAACAAGGAAATGGAAATATTATTAGCTTAAAACAAACTACTGGATTGAAGGAGTTGGGAATCATGATATTGAAAGTAGATCTGCATATTGTTTCTATTTATTTTTTACAGGATGAAGTTATCTTTAAAGAAATCCCTATTACTCATCATGTTAAGGAAGGATATGAGAAAGCAGATCCTGCACAGTTTGAGTTACTCAAGGTTCTTGGTCAAGGATCATTTGGAAAGGTAATGAATATGTTTTTCCATTTGACTTTTCTTCTGAATACTTAGCAAACAAATGTATGCACGTGTAGAAGTTAAATAAATGTGCCTTTTAAAATTTATTAAAGAATCCACAACAGGTAATTCTTTTATTCCTTCTCTTTGCTTTCTTTCTTTTATTAGTATGTATTTGGAGTACATAGGATACCATTCATCATGGGGAGGTTGTCCAAGGACACAGCACATCATAGTTCTTTTTTCATCCTCTTCCCTTCCTTTTTCTCCTTCACTTGGTCCCCTTCTCCTTTGCAAAAGTCTATCTCCATGTTTGCTATTATCTTTTATTTCACTCTTTAATTTCTTTATATTTGGGGTTTCTCATATAAGGGACTGTGAACTATTTAAAATTCTGCATCTGATTTAATTAATATTATGGTTTCAGTGGGGGACCTTAATACCTCACTGGCACAAATGGACATATCAACTAGACAAAAAAAAATCAGAACTAAACCAAACCTGTGAAGAAATGGACTTAGTAGATATTTATAGTGTTCTACCTCTCAACATCACAATACACATTCTTCTCAGCTGCACATGGGCCATTCTCCAAACTGTACCACATACTCAGCCATAGAACATGTTTAACTAAATGCAAAAGAATTGAAATAATCCCATGTATATTATCTACCATAGTGCAATGAAATTGGAATTCAACAGCAAAGGAAACCACAAAAAATACAGGAACACCTGGAGATTAAATAGCACCCTCCTGAACAATGAATGGGTCACAGATGAAATTAAAAAGTAATTAAACAGTATGCACAATTAAATGATAATGATGACACAACATGCTGAAACTTATGGGATGCAATAAAAGCAGTTCTAATAGGCAAATTTATAGCCATGAATTCTCACATCAGGAAAACAGAATGAGCTCAAATAAACAACCTAATGGTGAACCTCAAACTTCTAGATAAAGAAGAACAAATCAAACACAAGGTTCATGTGAGGGAGGAAAGTATAAAGATAATTGAAGAAATTAATGTTATCAAGACTAGGAAAATAATAAAAGAATCAATTAATTGAAAACATATTTCTTTGAAAGAGTAAACAAAATGAATAAACCATTAGCAAACCTTATCAAAAAGAGGAAAGAAAAGACTCGAATTCATGCACTGAGAAATGAAGAGGATGAAATCACTACAGATCCTGTGGAAATCTAGAAGATCAATACCAGCTTTGAAAATCTTTACTCTCATAGGTTGGAAAACACAGAAGAAATGGACAGATTCCTAGATATGTATGAATTGCCAAAGCTGAATTACGAAGATGTAAATATTCTGAATAATCCACTATCAGTTAATGAAATTGCAAATGTAATTAAAAACTTAACCACAAATAAAATCCCATGTCCTCATGAATTGACTGCTGTATTCTACAAGAAATTTAGAGAAGCTATAATGCTAATACTGCTTAAACTCTTTAAGGAAATTGAAGGGGAAGCAATACTCTCAAAGTCATTCTTGGAAGCAAGTATTACCCTCATAACAAAACCAGAGAAAGACCTAGCCCAAAAAGAGAAACACAGGGCAATATCCCTAATGTACATAGATGTAAAAAATCTTAATAAGATACTGGCAAACAGAATGCAGCAAATCATTAAGAAGATTATTCACCGCATTATTCATCACAAGGAAAAGAAATAAAAGAATAATGATAGGAAAGGAAAAAAATTAAAATATTATTTGCAAATGACATGATACTCTACATAGAAGACCCCAAAAGCTCCACCAAAAGACTTCTAGATTTAATTACTGAATTCAGTTGTGTAGCTGGATACAAAGTCAAAACTTAAAAATCAGTAGCATTCCTATACACAGACAACAAATGCACTGAGAGAAATTAGGGACACAATAATTTTCTCAATAAAATGAAAAAATAAATACTTAGAAATCAATCTAACAAAGGAAATAAAAAAATCTATGCATTTAAAATTACAGAAATCTGAAAAAAGGAGATTGAAGAGGACATCAAAAATACAGAGATAACCCTTGTTCCTGGGTAGGAAGAACCAACATAGTAAAAGTTCCCATACTTCCAAAATTGTTATACAAATTTAATGCAAACACAATCAATATACCATTAATATACCTCACAGAACCGGAGAAAGCATTCCTAAAATTCATTTGGAACCCGAAGAGTCCTAGAATAGCAAAAACATTTCCAGGCAACAAAGCCAAGGCAGGAGGCATTAGGACATTGCAATCCCATACTTGAAATTATACTACAAAGCTACTGTGATGCAAACAGCATGGTAGTGTCTAAACAAAACAAAACAGACCTGAGGATCAGTGCAACAGATTATAAGATACAAAAATTACTCCAAACACACTCAGCCACCTTATCTTTGATGAAGGAGCCAAGCATGTATACTACAAAAAAAATCATCTGTTTAATTAGTGGTACTGGGAAGACTGGCTATCCACATGTTGAAGACTGAAACTAAACCCGTGCCTCTCACCATGCACCAAACTGAAGTTGAAATGGATCAAAATCTAATTATTGAAACAAACATTAAATTTGCTGGATGAGAGAATATGTAGAACTCTTGAATACAAAGCAAAGATTTCATGAACATAACCCTGATTGCATGGAAAATTCTGCAAAGAATCAACAACTGGTATCTCATCTTATTGAAAAGCTTTTGCAGAGCAAAAGAAATCACCAGTAGAGGGAACATACAACCCAGAGAGTGGAAAAAAATTTTCACTAGTTCTCTCTCAGACAAAGGAGTAATAACATGTAAAGAACTGAAAAAATTTAGACCCCCTAATTTAAAGACCCAATCCAAAAATACGCATCTGATATGAGCACACACTTCTCAGAAGAAGAAATACAAGTAGCACCGTATCATCATTGATCATTTGAGAGATGCAATTTAAAACAACACTGAGGCCAGGCACGGTGTCGCAAGCCTGTAATCCCAACATTTGGGAGGCTGAGGTAGGAGGATCACTGTGAGTTCGAGACCAGCCTGAGCTACAAAGTGAGCTCAAGGCCAGTCTGAACTGCATAGCGAGACTCTGTCTCAAAAAGACAAAAAAAAAACCAAAAACCAAAAAACAAAAAACAAAACCCACTGAGGTTCCATCTCACTCCAGAAAAAATGACTATCATCAAGAAATCGATCAATAACAAATGCTGGTGGGGCTGTGAGAAGAAAGGAACCCCTCTGCTCTGTTTATAGCAGCACAATTTGTAATAATAGAACAAAAATGATCAAGATGTGACAAGTATATGTATCAAACCCCCAAGAAGAAAGTAATCATTATGGCTTGTAAACATACACTAATAAAAACTTTTTAAGCTTTTAAAAAATCATCTCTCTCTGCCCTCTTCCTTTAATCAACAACATTGTAGTTGCATGGCTTCAAATTACTGCACCTGAAACAAAATCTCTCCTAATAGGACAGAATTCTTTTCAGTTACACTAATCTGATTATGGGAAACTATGCAGTAGGAAAATGAGTGAGGAGTTACTTCAATATTTTACTTTCGACTACATGGAGTTTTATATTTTCCATTACAGATTGCTCAATAAGTATTTGTTGAACTGAATTGGGAGATCACATTTTTTTTTGTCTTTTTGAGACAGGGGCTCGCTATGTAGTTCAGGTTGGCCTTGAGCTCACTTTGTAGCCCAGACTAGTCTCAAATTCACAACTGTCCTCCTGCATCAGCCTCCCGAGTGCTGGGTTTACAGGTGTACACCACCAAGTCCAGCCTTTTTTTTTCACATATTTTTCAATGCTAACTGTGGAGAGAAAACCAACAGCAGGGAAATTTAAAGTATAAACATTTTAAAAACTGTCACTTAATAGCTGATCAAATGTTTAAGATTACAAGAGTTCAATATTTTTAAAATACATTTTAAAACCTAGAGTTAAGGCTTTACTCTCTCATAAAAGGTAAAATATACTTTTTTATAATTTGTGAATGTATGTTTTGTATAAATATGATCTGGCAGTATAACATATAATAAGTCTAGTCTATCAATTAAAAAAATGGTTTATGTCAAAGACCCAATCCAAAAATGGGCACCTGAGAGTCCATCTCACTCCAGAAAGAATAGCACTTACCAAGAAATCAACTAGTAACAAATGCTGGGGTGGCTGTGGGAAAAAGGAACCCTTCTTCTACTGTTGGTGGGAGTGTAGACTGGTGCAACCACTATGAAAATTTGTGTGGAGATTCCTCATGAAACTAGGATTACAGATTCCATTCAACCTAATTATTCCCTTTCTGTGTTTCTTCCTGAAAGAATTAAAAACATCACACCAGAATGCTACATGCACACCAATTTTTATAGCAGCACAGCTTGTAATATAAATGTTGTGAAGAGCACAAATGCCCTTCAGCCATGGAATGGATAAAGGTGGTTTTTTTTTTTTTAACCCAGTGGAGTACTATTTAGCCCTAAAAAGATAAACTTGAGACACTTCTAGGTAAATGGATGCACCTTGAGATAATACTCTTAAGTGAAAAAATTAGACACACATGAGTAAATATAACATTGTTTCTTTGCTGTGAAAAACCAAAAGGGTAAATAAGTATCCAAGGGTATAGTAGATATTGTGAAATAGAAAGAAATTGTTCAAAAGAAAGGGGAAGTGGGTGAGGGGTGGAAGGGGAAAGGAAGGTAAAGGAAAATGAAAATGATAAAAGTAGGATAAAATGGAAACAAAGCTTTGTAAATAAGGCGGGGAAGAGGGGTTGGAGGGAGGGGTGTGTATTGGGGGAAAAAAAATAGGAACCAGAATATATATTGTACCGGTACAGATTCCCTCTGAAAAATGTGTCATTATATATCTCTAAATTGTACCAGTAAACTTAATAAAAATGTATTAAATTTAAAAGTATGGTTTCAGTATGCTTCCATTTTTCTTCAAATGAATCAAGTTTGTCCTACTTTATGGCAGAGAAATATTCCTTTATGTATAAATACCGTGATTTCTTAATTCATT